AACAAATCTTTCTGACTTTGAATAAACGGTTATAACACATCCACCACCAATACCCATTGAGTGTGCATTTAAAACACCATTACAAATAGCAGCTGCCAAAGCAGCATCCATTGTTGAACCATTTTTTTCTAATATACCACGTCCAATTCTTGAACATTCAATATTATCAACTGCTACAGCTGCTCGAGGATATTTGCCCAAAATAGATGAACCATTGATAACATAAGTTTCATGACTGGAACCACATACAGTTTCATCAGTATCAGGAAAAGCTATAGTTAGATAAAAGAATATAGATTATATTCAAAGAGATTAAGAATAATATAAATAAGTAGTTGAACATATCAAAGTTACTATTCACTCCTATATTCATTTATTAACTATACCTAAAGTTTTTTGATAAAACTAAAACTGTATACGTACATTTTCTTAAACCAAAGACGAGGCCAATAATAACACCGGATACAACAAGAATAGAAGCAGCAACAAGAGCAACCGTTATTTTTCCTCGTCTAAATATGAATAATTTATTTCTTATAGAAAAATAATCAAAACCAATTCATCTTTATTTTTGCGAAATTATTCTGTACTACATAACTGTCTACCCATGTAGGTGAATGAATATGTACTTTTTAGATCTTATCGAGGATTAGAAAGTATTTGCACGGGACCAGATTATCTGAGGTGCAAAAAATGTTACTAATCAATAAATACTATCTAAGTTTGACATTATACTTAAAAATAGATACAGACAAACATACTAAAGGACAAGAGAAAAAACAAGTTAAAATCAAATAAAGTTTTATAGTCTAAGAAAAATTATTTAATAATGAATGAAGTAAAGATTTTTTATGTGAGAGTTTAGATTTGCTGAAAACGAAAATTTTGAATTAGATATTTATATGTCGTAAAAGAAAGTAGTCACATGAACAAATAAATTTAAATATCTCTATTTTTTCTGTATTATGTTAATATTGAATTCATTATTTACTTACTTAGTAGAGAAAAGTCCTAAAATGTGCACCATGTTCTTTATTTGCGCTACAGTGATGGTAAATAGGGTAGATAAAAATCGAGTTTGGCAGAGTTCTTATCAAATACTCGTGAATTGTGATAACCTAGATGAAAATATAAAAAGTTTTACAATCATTTATTAACATGATATTCTTGTATAGTAAAAAGAAAACGGCGAAGATGATAGTAAATGTGATGGTATTTGGTGTATATACTTATTTTTCTCATTAAACACGAATGACATTTTATTACGAAAAAAAAGGTTTGTTTTTTGTTCGATTATCATAGTGTTATATCTTATGCTCTTAGAATAGTATAAAAGGTAAATCTTGCATACATATTCAAAGATAAGAAGAAAAGAATAATTTATTGATAATAAAATGTCTCGAAAATAAATACGGCAATACGTAGTATAAAATTTACATGATCATAGAAAATAAACGATAATAAGGTATATGAATTATTATCTTTCTTATCAAATTTTGATTATGAATTTTTCAATAAAGATATATAATCATCTTCAAGTGTCATTACTTTTAAGTTTTAAGTAAGTGAATAAGACGCATATCAACTTCAAATCTTTTGATACCTATTGTAGTCTTCACCTATTAAGATAACTAAATAATATGAAGATTTGAAAATAAACTTCTATATTCTCGATTTTCTTTCTAATCATGTTAATATTTTATATTGGATTATTTACAGAAATTTCATTGTTACAAGAACGAAATATTTTTATAACGTCAATCATTAGCTTTAGGAAGTGGCTATGTGTACCCGGGTGACCATAGACACTTCCTTACCTTTAATTATATGATAGTGTCTAAACAACTGAACAAATCTATTGTTTTTTATCGTATTGAATGATAGTATAATAAATACGAAGATATATACATAGTCCGTAAAAATATTTTTTACTTCATATCGAATTTACCTTGATGAAGAGAACTAACTTGTGAATGATATATGATTTTATTAAAAATTAGTTTGTTTTTTTTTTGAATTTATCCAGGTTATAATTAGTAAAATTTAAGATCAAAATGAGTAGTTAACCAAAAAAAAAATGAATATCCTTAATCTATACACAAATTAAAAATGAAGTCTGTATTGTTATTCTGTTTTCAATTAGATATATTTGTTTATGCACGTTCATCCAATGCATCAAACCTAAAGTTAAATAAAATAAATTTTTATAATATTTATTTAATATGAAATCAAAATAAACTTACCAAGGATCAATTGAACCTAATAGAGCCTTGACAATATAATCACCAAAAGAGAATGGAAAGCTTGGTCCACGTACTCGTTGAATTTCAGCTTTTTCCGAACGATAATCATCAATAACATCCAAATTAGGCATTGTTTTATCCCAATTTGATAAATAACTTACAGATTCAAGATCATCTGTACAGGCTAAAAATGTTACATAAGTTTGTGGTGTACGTTCCTGACGTAAAACGGCTTCTAATGCACCAATATCTGTTTGACCATGTTCATTTGTTGGAGCTCTACAAAAAAAGTAACAGAGAAAATCAAAAATAAAATAAAGTTTCATTTATCAAAATCATACCCATCAGTAGCGACAAGAATTAATAATTTCTTTTCAAATGTTTGATTACGTTTAGCAGCAAGAATTTTTCGTAATGCTGGTACAAGTGGAGTTAAACCTTGTGGTGGTGAATTAAATACATGTCGCATACTTTGTGTATTGGTTACATTAAGTACAGGTTCTCGATTTAAAAAGTAAACATCAATACCATTAGAATCCATAACTGCGCAAATATCAGCAATAATATTGACGAGCTATATATATATATGTTTGAATAAAAGTTATTCTAGAAAATGAAATCTTGTTTACATACAGATTTTAGTTCGTCCCATCGTGTTTGATTACTGCTTTGAAGTGGTGTATTCATACTACCTGAATCATCACATAAGAGAACAATTTCACAATTGCCAAGTGCTTGTAAACGTGCTGCAAATTGCGGATTGATTTCATATTGTTGAACAACTTGATTAAGTCGTTGTGAACGTTGATCATTCGACATGGAACCACCAGGATTTTGACCTGTTCCTGGACCACCGAAGCCACTGCCTGCTTGACCTGGATAGCCACCACTTTGAGGAGGATAAGCACCGCCTTGTGGAGGATAAGCATCACCTTGTGGAGGATAGGCACCACCTTGTGGTGGATAAGCACCACCTTGTGGTGGATAAGCACCACCTTGTGGAGGATAACCACTTCCTGGATTACCGGGATTTTGACTGTATGGATTGCTACCGTATGGTTGTTGACCAGAAGGAGGATAACCACCAGGACCACCTGGCATACGTTGACCACCTTGTGCGTAAGGATTTCCTCCTTGAGGTTGATTGCCTTGTGCATAAGGATTTCCTCCTTGAGGCTGATTACCTTGTGCATAAGGATTACCAGAACCTCCATAGTTACCTTGATTACCACCGGATGGTGCTGACATATTTTGTTGATAACCACTATAAAATAGAAGATAATTATCTTTTAATTTATAATTATGATTTCTTCAGAAGCTCAATATATATAATATTATTTTTATGTAAAAAAATTATTTAAAAAATCAAGTTAATAATTGTTTATGATAATATTGTTCTTTATACAGTGGTTTGCAAAAAAACTTCAAACAATTTATTCATATAAATATTTGATTCATTTCTACTGTAACGTTGTATAATGATAATCTGATCGAGCTAGGAACGTGACTCGAATATCACATCATATCTTTATATTACATTATACAAAAATGCGAACTTATCCTCTCGAAAATATTTGTTGATATACAAAGATACCACCGCCTATAATTAGTTATTAATTCAAGAAGTTCAGAATTCAGTATTTCCTAGGATATTGGATAGTCAAAAGTTGCAAATGTATGTCCAACGGTGAACAAAAGCGAGAAATTAGAAAAATTAATTTGACAAAATAAAAAGATGGTATTAATAGAGTTTGTTGCAAAATGACATGAACAGTATGAATTCACTATTTTCATCAATACAATCGTATAATATTTTTATTAATTGAATATAAACACTGAAAAAGTTATAATTAGTTCAACTGACAGCACAAAAATGAAGTGTTTCTTGTTTAATGAATCATAAGGAGAACGGATCAAATATTAAATCAGATATTCTACGACTATGATCTATTACGTATTATATTAAAAAAAAGTTTTTATGAAAACAGTTGAACTAGCGTTTATTACAGACTAAAGATTTGTTTTAAGTCTTTTTGCAAACTACTGTATATGATAATATATAGGACAATCGAATATTTTTTAAAACTATTTCTATTCTATGATAAGCAAATTTGTATACATAAAATAATTAATATTTAAAAGATATCGAAACACATGTTTATTTATCTTTCGCTTCTCGACTAAATGTGTTCGACTTATACTAACCTAAATAATATATTTATAAATAATCGATCGTATTTCTTACCCTGTTAAACCTGCTCCAATACCGTATTGTGGTGTACCACCGTAAGGTGGTTGTTGTTGTTGTTGTGGATACGCTCCACTAGCGTTGTATGGTGTTTGTTGTGGATATGGAGGATTAGAAGCACCCGCTCCTCCACCTGGTCGTGGATATTGTTGTTGATTAGGATACATATTTGATACTTTTTTCTCGTTTTCTTTTATTTAACTATCGACAATAAAAAAGACAGACGTTTATAAAGTAATACGAAGTTGACGCACGTTGCAAGCTTATATGAATAAGAAAGAAAGCAAATAAATGACGACAGAATAAATAACTACCCATCAGTTGACGTACTTAGGTTTTTCTTCCGTTCTTTGTTGTTTTTACTCCCATTCTTATTTCTTTCGACTGACGGTTAACAATTTCTTCTTCTTTTTTTTCTTTTCTTTCTTCTAGAATTTCAAGGCTATAAAAGAAAACGAATGAGAAAGGAACCAAATATGCTACAAGCATAAGTAATCGATGTGCGTGGCAGAGGTGCAGAATCTTCC